GAGATGGCACCTGTATCCAAATAATGAAGAGTATTTTCCTACAAGAAAAAAAGAGGGAGAAAATACCAAGTCGAGAAAGTGAGTGAGATATGTACAATTCCTCGTTGATCATCAGCTAAACAACGAAGAATCAAAGCTACAATTAAACGAAAATCGGTCAAGAGTGAGAAAGTTATGCCGTGTAGATTTAGATAATCAAAGTTATCTATCATCCACATTTTTTTTCTTCTCATTTAGTCATCAAATAATAATAGTTCAACGATAACTGATTTCAATATGTTACATACATTATCAAATAATGACTGGAAAAAATATTGTCTTGTTAATCTCATGATATCGAATCATAATCAAACACTGTCGACAATTATTAGTTATCCAGCTTCAATACGTACCTATGATGTAGGTGGAATGTGTTCGATTCCATTTGAAACGACAAAAAGTAATGTTACTAAAGAATTAAGTTTGAATACGGGTATTACATTTGTTAGTAAATATTTATTAAACAGTAAAAATTCATCGATTCTATTTGATCTTATTATGAAAATAAGTTACTTGTATTTAAGATAAATGGGATTAAATTTAACATTGTGTAGTGTCAATGAAACAAAACGTCGATTTTTTGTCAATAATGACGTGGCACCTATTGTTGAAAAATGTTTGGATTTATTATCATCAACTCTAAAACAGTCGTTAAAACATCGCTCTCATTTATGTTTTAATCAAGTTGATGATTTTGCAACAATAATATCTAAAAAACAAGCTCATTATCAAACTTGTGAAGAAAATACCGATCAATCAATTGTTGTAGATGGTAAAAAAAACAATCGAAAACAACCATATATTCAAAATGCTCTAAATAAGACTTATCATGCATCGTTCTTCGAACAAAATCTTGTTGAACTTATTGTGGGTTTCTCTCTCTGTTTATGGATTCCGGTATCGTGTTTTGTGCACTTTTGTATTGATGAAAAAAACAAAAAAATGTTTCTATCTGAATTACAACCATGTTTAAATAATAGTGACCAACGAGTAACCATTCAAACACAGACCGAGTGATGCATTGTTAAACCAAAATATTTCAAAATTGTTTTTGTTTTATTGATTGAGTAACAATCTCTTATCTGTTTTTTACATTAGATTTGTTTTGATAACTTTTTTCTATTATCTTTGCAGTCTTCAGTGTATCAAATACTAACGAGGTCCTCACCCTCACGCCTCCCTTCGGTCGGTATTCGCACCCACGAAAGATCAGAAATGTTGTGAACTTCTCTGATTCGATGGAAAAAGCGCACGATGTAATATAAAGGTATAAATTTTGTAATATAAAACCGTCTAATATAATATAAAGCTAACTAGCTAACAATGCTAACACCTCCCTTCGTCGGTGTTCGCTAGTGGACCATCTACAATATGTTATGAATATCTGCAATGCATTCGCAGTAAATATTATTTGAGCCATCTCTTTGAATATTTTCTCTCTTGTGTAAAAAATAATTTTCTAGTTTTGTTTCTTGAGGTTAGCTTATCCACGGAATATCTGACAGCTATTTTTTGGTATTTTGCGCACACACACCGACAACCATTTTGTAAGACCCTAGACTAAAGTCAAGGGAAAAATCAGAGTGAAAGTCACACTAAAATACCGAAAACAGTAATCGATATTTGTGACTTTGCTATCGAGAAAAGAGAGTGAAAACGAAGCGGCCCAAAAATATCTTTCATGGCATTTTATAGAGCTCGAAGAGTACCACAAATCAGGGCCGTAGCCAGAAATTTGGTAAGGGGTGGGCATCTACAAAAAAGTTCTATCTTTACTAGTCTGAATTTTCATTTTAAAGCTGGATCGAGCACTAATTTTTTCTTGCTTTTTTGTTTTGCGTTCTTGCGTTATCTCAAGGAGTGGGCATGTGCCCTGTTTGCCTACCCCCTGACTACGGCCCTGCCACAAATGAGAGAAATAGAAAAAAATTCGACTAAATACTTTCTGTGCTGGGAGGCCTGGAAGTTGGCTATTCTTAAAAAAGGGTCTTCGAAGATGGGCTTCGTACTCAAAGAGAAAGACAGATATCGACTTTATTCTTTTTTCATTGGATTAAGCAGCCCTTTAGCTTCAGTTTTATATATAGTGCAAGAAATTTTTCTTTTGTTTTGCCTTCAGCAGAGGTGCCCTTTTTTCATTTTCGCCCATTTTCTGACAATTGGCCTGTGCTTTTAAATGTAGTAGGCTACGTTTTGAGTAACAGCACTTATACTACTCAACCTGCTCCTTCGTATGGTATATTAAACGTCGATGTTAACTCTATGGATGTAGAGAAAAACAAGGTCGAAGTGCTTCAGTGTAAAAGAGGTCGACAGGTGACATCCCTAAACAGACATGTAGTTTATAACTTTTTTGCGAACAAATATGGCATTCTATGTAACATTTTATGCTCTATCAGGCAGGAGTGTTGAAAGTTTTGTGGCTGCTATGTCTGTATAAGCTGAGCTGACCTGAATGGATGCACCCTAATATAAATCTAAAAACTTTTCTGGACACCCTGTGCAGAGTCGACGGTAGGCTGCAAGTATTTCTGATCGATTCGCCATAATAGACTATCTATGTTCTGTAAGTTTTATTATCCGTATATGACGTTTTTTATGTTATCAAAATGGACTGCTTTCTGGCGGCATCTATATATATAACGTTTCCACAAGTAAAGAAACTTCTCCTTAGTTTTTTTTTCTTTCTGCATCAGTAATTATTTTTCCCCTCATCTCTTTGAATATTTTCTCTCTTCTGTAAAAAATAATTTTCTGCTTGTCTCTCTTGTGATTCGCTTATCCATTGAATATCTGACAGCCATTTTTCCATATTTTACACACAGACACACAGACAGACAACCGCCCAAGGCTACGTTCACACTGCAAATTTTTCAGACTTAACTCGAAGTTAACTTCGAGAGCGTTCACACCGAAATCTTTAACACACCAATAAGATTTGGATATTTCCCCTAAAATTGTGCTGCTTAGGTTGCAGCTTGCTAACAGCCGGCCAGTTTGAATTTACGTTCTACATTTGACTTTCTAAGCTCAAACAGAAAAATTGAGTCGAAAATCAGATGTTTGTTTGCCTATAAAACCGGCGCTAACTCCCATGTCTAATGGATCCATATTATTGGTTACTGAGCTCAGTTTATGGTTGGAGAGTTAAAGTTAAATGATGTCCGAAACATCATTTAACTCAGAGTTAACTTTTTGACCAATCAGCTTCGTTTTTGCTCATTTAACTTTTGTAGTGTGAACGTGGCCTAAGACTCTAAACTAAAGTCAAGGGAACAAACATCTCTGATCAAAATGAAACATCTCATAGTTCCTGGCAACGCTTCACTCAAAAGGTACAAGTCTCATTTTTCGTGAATAAACTAGTCTTAATCTTAATCGGAGTTGTAAATGTTCTTTTTCTTTCGGTTTTTCCGTTATCATGATCTGTCTCATCGTCCGAATCAGCCTTCTGTTCTTCTTCATCCCTAAGACTGTTTTATTCACGAAAAGTGAGAATCATCAAAGATCACCGATCTGTAATAACAATGACACAAGTCAAACAGCACAAAAAGAGTAATAAAATAGAACAAACTAAAGAAGAGAACTAAAGTTAGAACCAGAAGTAGTAGAAAAAACAAAATTTTTTAAAAAAATAAGCAGAAAAGAACAAATATAAATTCTTAACCGACAAACGTTTCACTGGAAGAGATACGGAAGTAAAGCTGTTTTGGAAGCCGTTAAAGAAGAAAGACGAATAACTCACTCTGGAAGGTTATTCCAATCGGCAATAGTTGAATAAAAAAAAGAAGAATGCACCGTTTGCGGAGAAAAACCATCAACAGAAGATGGAATGCATATTTAGAGTGGTGAAGACGTAAAGATGAGTGGTGCGGACGATGAATAGTATAAAAAAGAGAAACAGGACTTAGACGATGAAAAATTTTGAAAAACTGTATAAGTCTAACGTATTTACCAGAGTTGGGTAAGTCATGGGTTTTCCAAGTCACAGGTCAAGTAAGTCATCAAAAATTTTCTCAAGTCAAGTCATGCCTAATAAAAAAATTTCACCAGTCAAGTCAAATCACAAGTTATGACTTGAAATTTTTTTTTCGTGGAAAATGGCATAAAAGAGTCTCTATTCCTTGGTATTAGAACACAGACTTGCAAAACTATTGCAGACCATTGCAAAATGCGCGTCTTGTTACTGTGCGTAAATTCTTACATATTATAACATCAACATTCCCAAATCGTTATGAATTATTATTTAAAATTAGATTGCATAAACGGTTTAAAAATATGCATGACTTGGTTTTTATGCCAAGTCAAATCAAGTCTTTCAAAACTTGTCAAGTCATGAGTCATCAAAAATTTTCCAGATCAAGGGAAGTCAAAAATGACTTGACTTGACTTGCCCAGCTCTGGTTTATACAGTTTGAACATGAGAAAAATTAGAAGAATCAGTAGAGGAAAGAAGAACAATCAAAAAACCATCATTGGCAAAAAGACAGATTTCACAATTAGGTGGAAGCGACAGAGGTATTAATAAAGATAAGCAATAAAAGAGACCGAAGCACACTGCCCTCAAGGCAGTGTGCTTCGGTCTCTGATTTTGTCCCAGAAGGAATAGGAGAAGAAGAGACAAAATCATTCACACGCACACACCGAGAACGGTTCGAAAGATAAGAAGATAGAAGTGACAATAAAGAATACCGCACACCACAACGAGATAATTTTTCTAACAAGCAAGAGAGAATGGGGAGGGAACAGAGTCAAATGCTTTAGAAAAATCAAAAGACACACCAACACACTTCACATCAGCATTCCAAAATTTAAAGACGGTTGAAGATAAAAACAACAAAGCATCCAGAGAAGAATGTTTAGGGCGAAAACCGAACTGTTTATTTACAAAAAAAAGAGATCAGAAATAAATTAGATGTTCAAACACTTTAGAAACAACAGGAAGTGAAATAGGGCGATAGTTAGAAATATTGGCAAGAGCGTCTTTTTTTATGAACAGGTACAATGAATGCAGTTTTCCATAAAGTTGAAAAATTGCTAGTAGAAAGACAAAGATGAAAAATGAAGTGAAGATGAGATGAAAGAATGTCAATACAATAAGAGGGGAAGGAAGAAGGAATTCTATCAATACCAACAGTAGACTTTTATCCAATTTCTGAAGTAAACGCTCAACATCTGGTATGGAAAAGTCGAGGTGTTTATCCATCGTTGGCAAGTCTGGAGTAGTAGAGGGAGGAATTTGCCCCTGAAGAGAAGAATGCGGAAAAATGAGAATCGAAAAGTTCAGCTTTATCCGCATCTGTGGAAACAGATTTGGAGCCTAGAAACAAAGACTGAGGTAAAGTGGAGTGAGAAGAGGATAGTTTCTTGATAGAACTTCAAAACTTGCGAGGATCAGAAAATAAAGAAGAGAGAGATCGAAAGTAAGAAGATTTCTCACAACGATAGAGAGAAAGGACAGGATTTCTTGGTGGACGGAACTCAGCAAGATTAGGAGCAGTATAACGGGTTCGAGTTTACGAAAACGT